TCCAGATAGCCCTCCCAAAATAAAGATGATGCAACAACCAAATCATGAATTTTTCAAGAAGAATATGGAAGAAACCTAACTGTATTACTGACTTAATCTTAGTTCTACAACTTCTAAGTAGTCAGAAAGAGAAATGCTTATCTAAGAACATATGGTCATTCACGGGGGGGGGGCTAGCATATGGCCACAAAATAATTTTTAAGGAAATAAAATGGAGATTTTTAAAAATTAAATTAATCTGTAAGCAGATTCCTTTTATGTTGCATATAATAGATTTGTGTTCATCACAATTTTATCTCCAAAATAAGCCAGAGGTAAGGGTGTGGAGAGTTGAAGTTAGAATTTACCGGGAAATTAGCACCAGGATAGAAGAAAGTTAAATGACTTGCCTAAGGTCACACAGTCACAGGCAGAAGCAAGAACAGAAATAAGGCCTACTGACTCCTCCAATTCCTACTCTTTTACAACATGCTTCCTGTTTGATCACAAAATCAGTAAGTGTCACATTCACACTGATCTCAGCAAGTGCTTCATTGCCTGAGTAACAGCTAGCTTTGAAGATGAAAAATTCTACAGAGGCTCTATGCATGGCTGTTACTAATAATAAAGCCATTTTAATTTTAGTTTTAAAAATCACAGAAAAACTCAATAGAAAATCAAAATTTAATCCTGACCTCACTCCTCCTCTGAGCACAAGAGTTTAAGGGTCTTCCCTTTTCTGATGTCCTCCCACTACACAATTGCTCTCACACTAGCAGATAATGCTACCCCCTCTTTGAATATATATTACTTCTCAGCAGGCTCTGGCATGAGTAGAGAAGGAGCCAATCTGTGAGGGAGTGAACACAAGATCTTCCATAATAGCAAAGAGAAGGCAGAAAATTGCTGCCAAAAGTGTAAATTGCTTTTTTGCTTGAAAAAAAAAATCATTTTGGGTTTCAAAGACACCTTCTTACAAGATGACTCCACAGCTGTTACTATCCATGTTCTATATATTAGGACTTTTGTTCCTTCACGCCCTCTGAGAACTCCTGCCAGATACATGACTGTGTATCATGGATCTGAGGAGTAAGCTATCACATGGTGAGTAATGGGCAGCTATTATGTGGAGTCAAAAGAAGGCTCAGCTGGCCACTACCCAGACAGCACTCTTTTTGTTGTGATATCCTGTGGATACTGTGTGAAGATAAGACAAAGAAATATCACTATATAATGACAGAGACTAAACCTAAGAGCCTTCTTTCTTGAGAAGTTGCTTGCAGAAAATCAAAGTCAGCAATTCCATGTTAGAGAAAGTAGGAACTCCTAAATTAGAGGGACCAGACCAAAGTGACCCGCTGAGGACTGTGTGAAGCCACTGAGCTGTGCCACAGGCCCATAGAGTGAAGTGTGTCGGCCTCTTGCAGACAGTCCAAGAGACTGTTGAGTGCATGGGCCGTGAAACTAGAAGATAATCAAGTCCTAACTCTGCAACTTATGAGCCTTGTGCTCTAAGGCAAATTAATCTCTCCAGTCATTTCCTTCTTTGACAAGGGGGATAACTATAGCGTAATGTTTATAAGAATTAAATGTTAATTTGTATAAAGCATTTTGGACATAATAAATCTTCAATTAATGGTAGCTATGGTTAGTATTTAACTATCAGGATAACTATATACTAAAACTCAGGGTAAGAAACAGACATGAGCAAAAGCATAGTATCTGGCAACCTTAAACAGTTTGAGAAGTCAAAACAGAAAGAGAAGAGAAGCACAGATTCAGCTGGTAGAAAGGGACATGGGTGATTACGTTTTTACAGGACAGGAATTTTTCTTTGTCCCTTCCACTGTGGAGAAAGAATGTTAGTGAAGATGGCTAAGGGATAAGAGTCCAAGCAGAACTAGAACTCAGGGTTACTAGGTAAATTTCTCATCTACAGTCAGTGCAGAGAGACCCACATTTTCTTTCTGCCTCCCTAACACATCAAACCCCCATTTAATCTGTCAGCAATGCAGAAGCCTTTGGAACAAAATTCTGTCTGACCTGTTGAAATGATAAAGTGTATATCATAAATGAGAAATTTCAGATCAAAGACAATCTGCCCTGAAATGATAATTGGAGTAAATTAAGCCAAATGGTACTCAATACAAATAAACTGAATGGAATCAACAAGTATGAATTTAAAGGTTAAAAAATGTGACTCCACTTCCTTCTTTCTGCCAAACTGAAACATAACTCTTCAAGTGCTCATTATACCAAAAAAGGTTTCATAAAATTCTAGTCCAAGAGAATCCTGCTGATATCAGCCTGACTTGAGGGAGACAGTTTGACATCTTGGTTGCTGGTAAGGAAACTATGCCTCACCACACTGCCTTGTCAAAATGACATGAAGCTATCTGCAATTAAATTCTAAAGCAAAAATTTCATACTCAGTAAATAGTATCTTCACAGGAAGTACTACTCTTCTCATAAGGTCCCTGTACTCTTCTCATCAATGTGACTCCAGCATGTGACCAGAAAGATGAAATGTTTCAGTCTCATCAAGCTCTCCCAAGACAGGAATGCCAGTGGTGTCCTGTGGAGCTTGTACTTTACCTCTGCTAAGGTATTTTCTCTATGTAGTTGGCTGGAACTCCTTCTGGGAAAGGTCTAGAATTGTTTCTAACCTGAATTTCAGAACTAGAGCTAGTATTGAGAATAAAAGAGATGAAGTGCCAAAGAAAATTTGGTACCTAAACCAAAATTCTAAGATATTGATTTAGGACCCCATCATTGCTGGTCAGATTAATACAGTTTGGATTGGTCTGAGCCCCAAAGGATCATGTAGAACATACATCCCCCAGTGTGGAGATGCTGAAAGGTGATAGAACATTTAAGGCATGGGGCCTGTTGAAGGTTATTAGTTCAAGGGAGTACCACCCTAAGAAGGGATTAAAGCAGGTCTTGTGAGGCTGGATTAGTTCCCAGAAAACTGGTTATTATAAAGGAGATGGTACCTTCCCTCAATCTTCCCTCTGCAAAGATGATGCTATCTACCATGAGGCCTTCACTAGAATCAGTTCAGATATTGATGCCATGCCCTTGGAACTCCAGAACTTTGAGCTAAAGAAACCTTTTTCCTTCATGAATACCTAGCTTCAGGTAATTTGTTACAGAACACAAAATATATTAAGACCCGTAGTTCAACCATAGCCCTTTACCTACCTCCAATTTATTTTCCATTCCAAAAGTAAGAAGACTTCTAAAACAAAAACCTGCTCATGTTAATTCCTGTTTAAAATTCTTTAAAGGCTTCCTGCTGACTTCAGGATAGAACTCCAGTACCTTTAGAAGGCCTACATGACAGTAATTGACCTGAGCTCCTGCTTTCCTTTTTCTACTCTTCTTTATAAAGATCTTTTATAAGGTTCTTTCATCTACCTACAAAAAGTGACCCTGTTCTTCCTCTACCTGCCTTCTTATCATTCAGACCTCTGTTTATGTATAACCTTTTCTGGTTAGCCTCCCCTCATCACCCAGATGGTTCCGGGTACACAGCCTGGACTTGGCTTATCACAACACTGCCCACAATGAGTGCTTGTTAGATCCCTGCCTGTACTCACTGTATTTACCCATATGAAGCATAGTGCCTAAAACATAGCAGGGATACAAATATATTTTAAGTGGATAAATGAAGGAAGATAGGAAGGAAGAGAGGCAGGGACAGAGGGAAGGAGGGAAGAAACAACATAGAAGAAAGCTGTTTGTCAGAATGGCTAGAAGATGGAATTAAGTTTAAAGCAGGCCACCTGGGACTTTAGCCATAGCAGAAAAGGAGCTGGATAGTTCCTCGCCATTCCAGAGTAAAGAATGAGAATCCGTTTCCAAGGAAAGGAAGCACTGGCACATGGAACTATGGGATAATGTGTGGTACTTCTTAACTATGAAGGGAGCTCAGGATGTGGGCAGGGAAAAGGAAAAAGAAGTAATTTTGTTTGTTGGTTTGAAATTAAAAGCAAAGAAGTGCCAAATACTGGCACCGGTATTCTTTTAATGAGGTGCTTGAACTAAATTAGTGATATTCAACTGAGTTCTGAGAAACCCTGGTCTCTGCAGAAGCCCCTTGGGTCTACTGACACAGAGAAAGATGGTATGCCAAAAGATATGGCCTTAATTTTAAGTAGAGAAAAACAGTTTTTTTACACATTGAGAATCTCTTCAAGTTTGGAAAGAAGGTACTTCTGACAGAAATAAAATCTGAATTGCAGTGGCCTGACTGGCTTTTGTGATATGGCTCCGTCTAACAGTTTTTGAGCCTACTTGATGGATAGGGTCTGTCTAGATGTTACATTTTACTTGGTAAAATCCCCTCAGTTGTGTTGATGGCACAACTGCAGCAGTTCTTAAGAGTTTGTTTGCACTGCTTCAACAAAATACAGAAAAAGTAAACCAAAGTCCAGGTTCACTGCAAGGCTGAGGCAATAATGAAATATACTTTAAAATGTAGTCTAACTGTGGATGCAGAGAAAGCACAAAGGCATTTTTTCCCCCCTAAACAAAATTCTGTGTACCTATGACCCAGGACTCATTGTAGTGGTATCTTACGGTCAGACACAAAGATGTTATGGATCAGAAATAAAGACTATTGGATCTGGAGCTCATTAATAAAAAACGAATTCAAATTAAAAGAGAACAATGCAAAAGTTTATTTAGTGGGTCCACCTGACAGCCTTAATTACCATTCATGCATAGCAGTTTTTCTTAACAAGGTATTCTGAATGTGCTAAAGAATAAAGCAAAGTCACTGTCATTACAACTTTCAAGTGTACCTTTATCTGAAGGTTACAGACAGGAAATGATAACAGCTAGTGAAGGAGATGGGAGTCTTTAAAAATAAGATTTTCAAAGCCCTGGCTTAAGATGGAGATCCCTTTTTGTGCTATTTCCTTGGCTGTCCATATTTCTGGGGCATTAAAAGGGCACAAATGTCACTCTACTTCAATTCTGAGAATAGTCAAGCAGTAATAATAATGTGATCTTACCTGGGTCCTTCCTCATCGCCCTGAAAGACAAAAGAAAGAAACAGCATTAGGATTCAGCCCTGGTAGACATGTTTAGATTTTTTTCTTCTTGCTCTCTTCTCCCAATCCGAAGGCAAAGACTGTACATTTAAAAGAATGACACCGGTGGATATCTAAGGACTAAGATAAGGTCTAGTATAAACTTTTATGTTCAAGCTGCCCAGCAGAGATGAACTAATAATTTGTCCTTGCAAGCAGAGAAGTGAATGCTCAGACCTAGGAGGCCTAAATAATAGCCTCGCTTTTTTATTTGTATGGCTGGCAGTATTCAGTTCTGGGCAAACTGAGAGTCCCAAAATAGCAGCAGGTCTTAGGCAAAAGCTGACCAGCTCCAAAAGTATCAAGCTGTTTCTTTTAAAGACTCACTTCTGCCATGGTCTAGCATTTTTATCTCTAAACATTAACATAGCAACTCTAATATACAGCATACTAAAGTGGAAAGGGTACCAAACTGGGACTCGGAAAATTGGGATTCTAGCTGAAGGTCTGATACTTTTTAAGTATGTGCCCTTGGGCAAACTGATTAATCTAAACCTAGGCTTTTCTTCTCCATAAGAGGGTATTTCTAGCATTAGATAACCTACATCACTCTTTAACCAAACACAGACTTTTCTTTTTCTTGTCCACTCTGCAAAAATAATGTGTGAATGTGATTTTTCCCAGGCATTGCATTCTCCCAACCTAACTTTATCCATGCCGATCACAGCAGATTCCTTTGAGCCTCCTTCTATGACCAAACCATATCTTTCAGATGACTCTTAAGCCTTTTCCAAGAGCTCACTTATCCTTTTGGTGACATGGTATCTTTCACATCCATAGTTATTCAGCGATGGTCTCAATAGAGAATGTACCTTTGGTTATACTCCTCAGAGAAGGAATAAATGAATGATTACTGTTAATAAAAAGGACAATGAAGTGGGAATCAGACATTCTGGGTTCAAATCTTGACTTTGTCACTCGTGTGATGTTACCCTAGTAAAGCAATTTGTCCTAACTTTAATTTCCTACTTTGTAAAATGGGACTATAACTGTCTTTGTAATCATAAGATGGATAAGAGGAGTAAATAACTCTTAAAATCAAGCCCAGTGCCTGAAACACAGAATACACTTAATAAAGCATTTTTATCAGTTTGGGTGGTAATTCAGAAGAAGCTACTATATGTAGATGCTACCGATTTAAAAATCCATAATGATCTCTAACCACCCTGAAACTCCCCATCGGGAGCATAGGAAACAGGCAGAAAGAAAATTAACTATGGCCAAATATGTTAAGGGATCTAAAAAAGTCATAAACAGAATGATTTGAGAGTCAAAGGGAAATGACGAACACTGCCTCTCCTTGAGAACTTGGGGAGGACTTCACAGAGAAAGTGATATTTACACTGGCATTTGAAGAATAAGAATTTTCACAGGCTGACAACAGAGAAGAGTGGGAAAAGCACTGGAAGAGAAATAGCAAAGACAACTTAAAATATTTATTGTTTAAAGAACTATGAGTTCTGTGGAACTAGGGAATGGGGATATGCGTGTATCAAGGGCAGGGGGCGTGGGACCAGGCTGAGAGCTGAAGTTGAGAGTACAACACAGATAAAGGGAAACTGCCAAGGTGCAAGCCAAGGTGCAAGCCTGTAAGCCATAAGGAGAACCTTATGGAAAAAGTACTTAAAACTCTTTCCCATGATTTACAGGAAGTCCTCCTCACAATCACATACTTTAGTGCAATGGGATTTCTGAATTATATAAATTAATTCCAACAAAATTCACTTTCTTCATCTGTATATGGAGATCCTAATTCTCACCTCAAAGAGACACTACACAGATTGAAATAAATGATTAAATTTGTGTAAAACACCAAGCAAGTTAGGGCCAGGGATTTAGCTCAGTGGTTCCCACACCTACCTTGCAAGCAAAAGGGCCCGGGTTCTATCCCTGGTACCCCCCACCCCAAAAAACAAAAACACTAAGCAAGCGCCTGGTACATTGTAAGAGTTCAACAAATGGTGTTCATTACCTTATTTCCTATGAATTATAATGAATAAGTTATTGGGGAGAGTGAGGAAGGAGAGAAGGCAGAGTAAAAGGTTCTGCCATATATTCATTCATTTCTGATGCTCACAGATGTATTTTTCTTTTCAAAAACAGCAGTCACTGTCACAAAACATGAGGAAGGCCAGGGTGAGAATTTCACCACTGAAGGTATGAATAAATGAATGAAGAAATAAATACACACACGTGAATTTTAAGAGCCATTTTAAATAGGTCAGCAGACATTTAGATGACCACTAACTTGCCAATATAAGATGTGCATGTGCAGTTCCTGCTCCCCCAAATGTACATGTTTTTCACTAAATCCTAGGTAATTCCTATCCCTAAGAGCAAACCTTACTCAGACATTTCCTCATTAAGAGTGTGAGTGGCATAGTCCTCCTTTGAACTTCACATCTGGAGTTCATCCTTCTAGGCTAGCATTTAGATTCTCCCTCTTCACGCCTTGAGAATGAAAACCATGTTTTGTTCATCTCTATATTCATTACACCAAAGGCAGCACAAGGCACAGAGTAAATAGGCAAAGAGAATTGGCAAGACAAAACAGAATTTAAAACTAATTCCTCTTCCTATTATGTTAATTCTGATTTCAAGAATATTAGAAGTGAGAGTGTATTAAACACTAACTTCCATTTAGATGACTTCTTAAATTTGGAAGTGCTCCCAAATCCCTCCTTAAAACAACCTAAATGTTTTTGGTTGGTGGGTTACAATTTAGGGCAACTTCTCATTTCTACTTCCACTAGTGGAAATGTTGCTCACTATGATCCAAACAACTTTAATTGCAAACCTGTTTATTCAGCTGAACTTGAAATTATAATGACACATTTACTTAAATAACAAAAAATGAATGCAAGGGAGACAATTGTTGCTTTCATGATATTTGACTGTTTCCACACAATTCAGTAAAATGAGTTACTTAAACTGGTGACAATTTTGAATGTATATGAAACATGTAAATATCAGAAACAAACATTCAGCTTGCTTTAAGTGGTATAACTTTCAGTATAGAGTAAAACTGGACATTTTAAATGGTATAGTACAGATGTGCTGGATCTTTATACCAGACATATGTCACGAAACTCCAAGTAAGCCACATTTTCAAAGAAAATGCCTTGACTCAGGATCAAAAAAATGTACAAAGATATATTTCAAGTTTAAAACAAATGCATAAGATATGCATATATCATTTTATTTTATCTTCTAAAACAACTTTTTCTAGTATTACTGAAATCAGAATCTCCTTTCAAAAACTGGACATAAGATGGGCATCCTCATGACTTAATAAAAATACACACTATTTTGTATTAATGAAAAAAGTTTGAAAACATTTTTAATACTTGACTTTGAGGAAGATTTTTATAAGATGATGTAAATAAATTTGGCAGAAAAGAGAAAGTCACATGAAGACAACATAAGCCTAATACAAAAAGTTGGCAATGACATTCTAAACATATAAAATTTGCACTTAAGTACCTTTGTTTTATGAAGAAAGAAATAAAAATCCTTAATAAAATACTACCAAAAGTGAACCCAGAGTTTATCTCAAGAATGCAACATTGGATAAATATTGTAAAATTAACTAGTGTAATTAATAATTACAACCAAACAATGGACAAAAAACTCTAAGACATTTCAATAGCTGCAGAAGAAACATTTGACAAAATGCAGTATTATCAGGATAAAACCCTTCAGCACATTAAGAACAGAGGGGGCGTTTCTTCAATTTAATAAAAAGCATCTATAAAACTCATCACATTTATTATACTGAATGCTTTTCCACTAAAACTGGGATCAAGCGAGGATGCCCACTTTTACTATTTATGTCAGGCATTGATCCAAAGGCCCTAGACCAGTGGTGGTGAACCTAGGGCACATGTGCCATGGTTGTTTGTTATCACTGACATCTTTACAGGATTCTCCATCATTGTTCTAGACACTGCAACAAAGCAAGAAAACAAAGTTACTGGCAGAGAGATTGGAAAAGAAGATGTTTACAGATGACATGAATGCTGATGTATAAGGGCCCAAAGTATCTGTAAAACCACTATTATAACTGAAAGACAAATTTGGCAAGGTTAAGAAATAAAATGTTAATACATAAAAATGAACTGTAAGCTGTGTGAGAGGTAGATGCTTGTAACTCCAGCTACTCAAAATGCAGAGGCAAGAGGATTGCTTGAGTTTGAGGCTGGCCAGGCAATATGGCAAAACCCAGTGTCCAAAGGGGGGTGGTGTATAGCATGAAAAGTCTCAAAAACTAAAATTTAAAAGCAATTCTTTCAGTAGTATCAAAAAATTAAAGACCTAAAAATAACTTTAACAAAAGCCACTGAAAGCCTTTAAATGAAGATTGTATCCAAATTAATTTCTAGGAGCATATAAATCAAAGACTTAGAAATGGAGCCATATACCATGTTCATTCAAATTGTTGCTTCCCACAGGTAATATGTTATTTCTCTTTAGAGCTCTGCTTTCAAGATTTTTTTTTCTCTTTAGTTTTGTAAGTTTGATTTTTATGTTTCTGGGAATTGATTTCTCAAGATTTTATCCTGTTTGGGTTCACTTAGCCTCTTAAATCTATAGGTTTATGTCTTTGGATCAAATGCTGGAAATTTTGAACAATTATTTCTTTGTGTCTGTTTTAGCCCCTCATTCCTCTTGTTATATATGTATCAGATCTTTCATTATTGCCCCACAGTTCCCAGAAGCTGAGTTCAATTATTTTTCAACCTTTTTTCTTGGCTGTTTAGATTCAATCAACATTAAATTATCTCCACATTCACAAATTTGTTTTCTTCTGTCATCTCAAATTTGCCAGTGAGCACTTGCAGCAAATTTTTTGATGCCAGTTACTGTATTTTTCAGTTCAAAATTTTTCATTTGGTTCTTTTTCATATCTCCTATTTCTTTGCTGCTATTTTGTTTTTCATTTGTTTCCAGGGTGTTTGTAAATGTTCACTGAGACACTTTTATGACAATTTTTTCTTTGTTTGATAATCCCAACACTTGTTTCATCTTGGTATTGGCATATATTTCTCATTTAAAATGAGATTTTTATTGTATAATGAGTGATTGAGACTGTATTCTGGCTATATTGAGGATATATTTATGATACGTGGAGGATATATTCATGATAATAACAGGGTATTTAAACTTAATTTGGCAGGTAGTCAACCTGTTTAGTTTCCAAATACATATTTTGGATCACTTTTTGAAGCTTATGGTTTAAATGTCACATCAGTTTACAAAGCTTCTGCAGTGCTATTCTTGTGTGCCCCACTCAGATGATAACCCTTCACTCGACAGTCTCAACAGAGCTTGCTGAAGAAAAAGAGAGGCACCAAGTCATTACTACAGGGCAGGGGTGGAAGATAAAAGTCGCAGCCACTGAGCCAGTAAGGGAAGAGCAAGGTCTAGTTAATGTACGGGGAAGAGGAAGGAGCTATTCACTCTAGCTACTGTCTCCACAGGTGAGGGGAGTACTTCCTTGCTGTTACAGCAGGAAGGAACAAAGAGTTCTTCACACAGGTGTGTGAAAGACAAGCACTTTTCATTACTGACAAGGTTAATGGTAAAGGCAGAAAGCAAAGTTTCACTCACAGGCTTCATGGAAAACAGACACCTTGTTACTCTAAAGGAGAGTATAAAACAGATTTTCAGTCCATCAGTGCCTCTACAGTAGTGTCAGTGGGGCTTGAGGAGGAGGGTAGCTTTTTCCTGGTATTCATCTCTAGAATGGGTAGTTATAGACAAAAGCATTCTCTCTAGCTAGCAGGCTTTTCTTAAGAGATTTTTGGGGGGTTGTGGGAGGGTCTATATCCACTAGTGTTTCCAGTTTGCATAACATAGGGGACAGGATGTAAAGGAAGTAAAGAAAATTCCAGATAATTCAGGGCTTATAGTCCTTTAACTATCAAGTTCTCCAGTCAGTATGACATCTTTTTGCCCCTCTGAAAGTCTTTTGGTGAATTCTGTCCAAAGATGTTTGCTATAATCAGTGGAAAGAATAAAATGGAATGTGTTCATGATTCTTACTCAGAATCAGAAATTTCATTTTGCTTTAGTGCTAAAAATAAAATTGACTGATGAGTGGAAAGTTAGAAAGATGGTCAGAAACGTCATGAAGCAAGTATGGCAAAATGTTAATGGATGACAATCTAGGTGGTAAGGTATATGGGTATAATCTGTAATGTCCTGTCAACTTTGCTTTATGTTTGAAATTTTTTGTAATAAAATGTAGGTGAGGAAATCTCTGGCTAAATTCGATATCCAAGTGATTTTTAAAAAATATTTCATTCTGTGCAAAGGAAAAAAAAAAGCATTTCTCTCGTAAGTGAGAGAGGTATTAGATATTTGCTCTAACCAATAAATTACCAGATTAACTGGAACAAAAGCTATTAGGTAATAACAGCTCTTTGAATATGCTCTAGCAAGCTGAATGCTACTTATTTTTAACAGCTTACTTTGCTCCCATCCTAGTCCTCTGTCAGCTTTTACATTCCTCAGAGTAATTCCATCAGTTGGGGTGCCTAAAGGACAGTTAATGATGTGAAGAGACTTAAATTCATTCTTTGCAATAAAAATAAAAGGGGATATTTCACAAAAAAATCAGATCTTTATTTTTGAAAGAACCACCTAAACAACACACAGAATAAATGTGAGAGTCTGTGGGGAATTTGAGAGAGTTATGCTCTTGATCTGCTGAGTTAACTCTGATTGAACTTTTTTATTAAGCCACAAAATGATCCCCTCTACCATTTTGCAACATGTTAAAACTAATATTTGTAGTGATTCAAATCTACCTTTATCTTTCACTCACACTGGTTTTTATCTTTATCTTCACAATGTCCCAGGGTACATGTCACCCTTTTATTGTTTTGTCTTGAGACAGGGGCTTGTATATTGCTTAGGCTGGTCTCAAACGCTTAAGACTCAAATGATCCTCCCTCTCGGCCTCCTGAGTAGCTGGGACTATAGGCCTGACCTACAACACCTGGCTCCACATGCCACTCAATCTAGCAGTTATTACAATTTTTAAAGTTAACTCCATATAAAATCCAGCGTCAAGCACCCTTTCACGATTTACAGATTAAGTCAAAAAACCTTTCATTCTGGCCTGCTTTGTGCTCTGCTTCTTGATTTACTCTCCTTCAGCCCAGTTCTCATCTCTATAGTGGCTTTATTCACACTCATTTTGCAACCTGGGATGTGTAAACTGCCCTCTTTTCTGATTCTGATTTCTGGCTTCTCTCTTTTACTGTGATTAGTATCTGCTCCACTGACTACTTTCCTTTACTTTGCCAGGTTTAGCTGCTAAGTATAGGTCCTGGTAGCCAATACTGTATTTACATACTAGGTCCACACCAGTTGAAATACTTAGAATTGTAGCTAAGGTTTCAATTAATTCATGATCAGGGATCACAAAGGGGCATCTCCACCACTAACAAACATGGCAATCAAGTTCTTCCTATTTATCCCACTACTAATGATAGTGGGCAGTTCATTTACCTCTGCCTTTGGCTCAGCTGATTCATTAGAGGTATCAAGTTGTTCCTTGGCCTGGGCCATCTGTGTCATCAACCTGTCCATGTGGGACTGGATGTCTGCCAATATCTCAGTCACATGAGCTGTGGCCATTGCTTCCTGGATGTCCACTAGATGAAGGGCCTTTTGCTCCTCATCAGCAATCACTTTCTGAACTTTCTTAAATTCCTGCTGTATAAACACCTTCATCTGGTCCCGAGTTACCTGTAGAACACAGAGAAGAACAGTAAGCTGGACATTCAAAGAAATAAAAGGGCAGAGTTACTACTATAAAGTGCTAGATAGCTCTGGCCTAAAATAAACTACGGTCCTCATCTGCTTCCGAAGTCTTGGGCACATTCTTTAAATGGTGTTCTAGCATCTTTGAGAAATTTCCTGCTTTTTCCTTCTCATTCTTAAGGAATGAATTCCTTATCTTTTTCACTTTGGTTCATTTTTATACCAGCAATACATAGCTATTTTTAAGAAATTTAACAGATATGTATATATAATAAAATTGTACTTCCTCTTTTCTCTTTAATTAATGTTAACAGTTTTATGCGTTCTCCCCCATTTTTCTATATAGTTACATATGAATACAGATAATTATGTAGGTTTTACACAAATGTACCACAGTGAAATACAGTTAGTGCTGTTCCTTGCTTTTTTACTTATGACAGTACACACGGATCAGCTTCATGCTTTCGATTATGTTTAGTATACGTAAGGTGAAGATACATAAAATACCCTATTTAACCATTCCTATCTTGTTAGAAAAGAAGTATCTTTCCAAATTTTCAGTGTTACAAACAATATAGCAATGAACATCCCTATATGTGTCTTAATATTTAAATGTAAATTTCTCTGGAGACCTCAGAAGTCACTGATACAATTTATAACTATGAGTTGTGATCAAAACACACAGTGAATGTTTAAATTTAAAATATTTACAACCGGGAAAGATACATTATCATTAATCTACCTCCTTGCTTCAAACACACTTATCCCACTTCCTGAAGCAGTTCTGGAAGTCTTATTTAGTTAGTATTTGATGAGGTGTGATCAAAAAATAAGCTCAGGGCTGAAGCCAAGTGCCATCCAACAGAAAGGTGTGCTCATACAAGGTGTTCCTCATCCTCCACTGGATCTGCTATCATGCAACTTCCAGCTCTTCCCCAAAGCCAAAATGACCATGAAAGGTAAATGTTTTGAATAGATTCAGGCCACGAAGGCAGCCAAAACAGCACAACTAAAGCCAAAGGCGCTCATGAAAGAGGATTTCCAGATCTGCTTCAGAACGTGGCAAGAACAATGGGATTAATGTTTGCAAAGCAAGGGGAAGTATTTTGAGGCGGATAAATGGCAATGTGTCTTCTGCTGAAGTAAATTTTTAAAATTTACACACTGTTTTTTTACACATCATAAAAATATTGGATACTGCCCTCCAAAAAAACCCATGCAACAGTTAGATTCCTACAACAACGTAGAAATTAAGCATTTCTATATTTCACCAATACTGGATAATAAAACTTTTTCACTCTTTGATAGGTTAAAATGTCATTGTTTTATTTTACAACTGTATTCTACAAACAAGATACAACTGTAAGTTATATTTGGCTAACGTATATAAAAGGCAAACAAACTATCAAAATTACAACTTCTGAACACTCCAAATCTTGTCAGCAACTGCATTTATTGAGGTTTCCTCACAACCATGCTTTTTTTATAAGTATTTTTAAAAGTTTATTTTTGTCTTTGGCAGTACTGGGGATTGAACCCACATTACTGCACATACTAAGTAAGTTTTACCAATGAGCTACACCCAGCTTTATGAATATTTATATACAGCTATCTATCAGAAGCTGAGATAGGGAGCAAGGGAAGACAGAACTACAGATAAAAAGGTAAAGACCAAAAGAAGATTTTAGATGTGGAAGAGAAAGCAGTTGTCATCTAATTTTTCTTCCTCTTTTATAGATAAGAAAATAGACATAGCTGGAAACTTGTGGGAGAGAGAAAGACTTCAATCTTGTTCTTAATCTGGTATCTAAGAGAACAGTTTATCAGAAAGGAAATCCAACCAGGAAAACCTAGGCAAGAAGACTGAGGAAGTGAAAGACTGAAGGTGGTGGTGGGGTGTTAATTGCTGCAAAACCAGAAAGAAATGTGATATTTTTAGCAGCTTCTGTAATATAGCAATACAATGTCAATGCAGAAGGTGGCCTGTATGACAAGTATCCACTGCCATATAACAAATGCCTAAGTGACATAAACCCTCAGGAATACATATGCTCTTTACAGGTGCTCTCCCTGGTGATAGAAAAAAAGGAAAGAGAAAATAATAAATGTTACTTATGTCCCTAGAAATTCTGTAATTCCTTTTTATTTTTACTGTATATATTTTGGTTTTGCTATGTATGCATGATAGTGATCACCAACCAATGGATTTTTACACTTGAAATGCATTAGGTCTTAAATGATCTATGACCTTCTCTTGGAGACCAAACCTGGAAAATTTTATTAAGGGATAAACTTTTCTGAATGACTGCTAATCTTTCTTAATGGTTCCAAGTGACTAAAAACTGGGAACATAATAAAAACTGACTATTTCACTAGATTGCATATACACATGTGATTCAGAGTTAGGAAGCTGACATCAATCAGGAAAACTGTGGACCAGACAGCAGGAGGTGAGTTAATGTAGGTGTTAAAAATTAAATTTTCTATATCCTGTTGTTTACATAGCTCTTTCAACATGACACTTTCACTTATACAGAGAAGACCACAAATGAGAAAGAATTGAACACAAAATAATCTACCATAATCTATTTTAAAAGTTAAGCCACCTTTCTACTCCCACACTAACAAATAGGTTTTCTAAAACCTAGACCAAAATTCTAAGAACAATCATGTGTATCACAGCATCCATCCAAACTCAAGAGCTCAAAGAAAAGATACTGTGGGAAGCTGGGGAAGTAGAAGGCTAGATGCTCAGTAAATGAACACCTGCTTTCAAAAAGCCCTTTCCACATTCATTTCCTTGCCATCAAAATTCCACCTCGCTAAAAACTTTGCTGTTCTCCAAAAGCAGTAGGCATTTCATATTGGTCTGCTATGTGAAGCCCTGGCATCATTTCCAAGTGGGCTTCTTGTTATCTATTCAGCCTAACAGTTCCACAGAAGTGAGAATGATACTTACTCTCTTGACTCTAACAACATGTGATGTTACACACAAAGAGAAAATTCTACATATTGAGAGAGCTGGATGAACTACCCAATGATGAATCTGGTGATGTGAAAGGCTTTTATGCAGCATCTACTAGTAACTGTCAAATATTTTTAAAGCCAAAGAACTTTCTCACTCTGAACAAAATCTTAGTGTAGAACCTCAGAATGTAATGCAGTAAAGCACAAAGTGGAAACTGTTCTGATTAAAAGAAACCCCTCCCCCACTTTGAAGAACTTCCTAGAGCACTCTACAGTATCTCCAGGGAAATCTCATGTGAGTGACCTCATCCGCAACATAAATGAAATCTTAAAAGGAACCTCCTCCATTTGGCCAACTGACCTCCAAGTTGTCAAAACCTTCAGCCCCCTCACTTACAAGCAAGGAATTGTATCTTTATTACAGTTGCATTAAAGTTAAATATTATGTTTTACTTAAATGCAGTATTTTACTGAAATTACTCAAATATAGCATTGTAATTTGAGAAATTTGGTGGCTTATGTAGGGAAATAACATTCATAAAATCACATTTAGAAAATTTCCTCTGGTACAGCCCAGTGTGCTTTTTGTTACAACATATTACCTGTAATGATCCCTTTCTGACTGGTTCAGGGTCTTCAAGTTCATTTCTTCCTAATTGAGATGTTTCCTCAGTTAATGATTCTCTTGTGATCCCCACTGGGATGTCATTCCCCCAAGTGAAGCTTGGGATAAAGTATTTACATCTAAGAGTTAAATCTTATCCCATGGTACTTTCTATATACTCTTGTATTTAATAATTCCAAACTAGATCAAACCCAAGAGGCACTCAGACTGGCACTTTACACATACATAATTAAACACATAAAACCTTGAATTAAGAAGCTCCTACTTAAAAACAACACCCACTCAATATATCTGACATGGGCTGTAAGCCAGTAACTTCTAGCTTGCTGGCCGGTAGGAAACCAAGGTTTTATTTCCTTTTTTAAATTAGAGGCAGATTATAAAAACGAGAAGCATACTGGCTAGAAAGCATCATGGCTTAAGAAAGATCTTTTTCAGAAATGTACTGCTGAAAAAGATGGCTGAGGGTCAGGAACAGGAAGTTACACAAAAGCAAAGCATCTAAGTTTACAATGATCAAAATTTGCCTATTAGCCAAAATTCTTGCAAGGTTTAAAAGAGGCCACACCAGAAATGATTTTTTTAAAATTGGGGAGTACAAGAAATAGAGAGTGATGACTCTAAATGCCTTTCCTGAAAAGTACACTTCCTCACTTCTCATGTGAATGGCCATTATTTTAAATAGATAACAACAAAACAGGCAGGAAATAGAACATTTTCAATGCTACAAAACTGTCCTCACTCCAGGAGCAGTGTTCTCCCAACTTGCCAGTATCCACATCAACTCTGAAGTTGGGCAGCTCAAAGCTGAGATTCTACATTTATTCTGACACTGTGTTCAAAGAGAGTTCCCTGGAGACTGCAGCCAGGCTCGCAGGAGGCCAGGCGAGGGAAGAGCTTCATCAGCAAGGAAGACAGAGGTCTTCCTCAAAGGAGGCAAGACATCAGGCCCTCTATCTTATCATGTCTGGAACAACTATCTAAGAATAAAACAGCTGTCCACTTTCTAGGCTAGAAAAATTATCAAGTCGCTGAGGAACAACAGCAGACATGAACTCTGACCTGTAGCCTATCACCAACATCTCAGTGATACATCACTTTTAGTGACCTAATTGGGAGCCTGACTTACTTGGGTTTTACAGCAGGGTGATAAGAATGGTAGATATTTACTGAAGTGAACATTTAAACTCTCCCTTTAACCATCTTTCTTAACTTCATTAGAAGCCTCCAGGAAAAAGTAGCTACTTGTATATTCACTTCCTTTAAGCACCCCGATTTTATCAAGGGCATGAGATCTCTATCGCAGTTATCCACTTAGTTACTCCAAGAATCCTCTCAAAGAAGCAAGAATGCTATGTACAGATGCAGTTGTTTTTATTATAATATTATAATA